TTACGACAGATGTACTATGGCGGGGAAAATTTTGTATATACTACAGCGGTTCAGAATTTCCGAAGTCGTATATACGACAATTATACTATGGCGGGGAAAATTTTGTTTCTACTACAGAGGTTTAGAATTCCCCGCCATCGAAACTGCGACAATTGCACTATGGCGGGGACATATAGTATATACTATTGCGGTACAGTGTACCCCCCGCCATCGCATTTACGACGGCGGAAAACCAACTCTGGCGAAGATTTAATGTTAGCTGGGATGTTTATGACTTGACACCCCACATAGACCTATAATGCAAAGTTTTTGATAAAATGACCGGAAAATGCGGGAAAAATCAGGGGGAAAAATATTTTTCTCTCACTTTGGTTTTTGATTCAAACACTAGATCCCAATTCAGAATTGAGTTTCCCGACCCAGTAGTGATGACTTTCGACACCCCACATGGACCTAACACAAAGTTTTTGAAAAAAAGTCTGAAAAAGCAGGAAAAATTATTTTTTCCCCACTTTGGTTTTTGATTAAAAAACTAGATCACAATTCAGGCCTGCATGCCAAAAATCAGAGAGATATCTCTTAATACAAAGTCATTAGAACCCCCCCCCTTTTTATGTAAATATTCTGTCTAATTGTATTTTTTTTAACCGAGTATTTATTTTGGACAAAGTTTTTTCTTAATCTTGTCAGGAAATGAGCTAAGAATATTTTTTTAAGTGAGGAGTGAAAACTGCTCAATCTTCTTATCTCTTACCTCATAATCCGCATTCCCTTTTTAAAAGAAACAAAAAAAAAGCCCTGTACTACCTCTAAGAGAACAGAAAATTTATGTCAAATTGTTGTTTAGGTCTGAGCTGAGCTCTGAGAAGATCTGAGCTGGGAATCGAAGGTAAAATTTGATTTTTTTAAATTAGTAAACATGAAGTAATTAATAATCTCTTATGAGATTTTTTCTGTATTTTTAACCTGAGCTGAAACCTTTAGAATGCGATATCCTTAATCACGATCGGTTAATTCATCTGGAGAATAATAACAAGAGGAGAACAAGCATTATTTAATCTTGAGATTAAGAAAATGAGTAGATCAAGCATTAATTCCGATATCCACTATTCAAGAGTTCCCAGCTCTGGATTTCTATTTTCTTTTTATTTAATTAAACGGCATTACATTTTCTACAAACTTGTAGTTTTTACCTTTTCTCTATCATGGTATAAAACTGTGTTTATACTGTTACTAAGAACTGAATTTTTAACCATGATCTTTTTTTTATTTAATTAAACAGGTTTGGAGAAAAAAGCTATATGTCTCTACGAAACTAATGAGCTATAAAACCAAATATTTGAAATAAACCGATTCTTATCTTGTTATCCTTTATTCCACTGCACTTTGCTGAATTTGTCATCTAAAATTCTTGCACCAGATTTAAAAACTGTTTTTAAGGCACAACTTTTTTATATTTATATTCAGAATATATATTTTAATTGATCTTTAAGAAAATTTTAAGTTTGAATAAAAACAAACCTGTTGATTTAATTTGTANGAGGGGGGGGGAGGCAGCGCTCATCCTGAACCTGGACTGGACTAGATCCTGGACCCTGGACTGGATAGGATCCTGGATACTGGACTGAAGTGGACCCTGGACTGGAAAGAATCCGGAACCCTGGCATGGACGGGACCGTGGACCCTGAACTGGACCGTGGACTGGCATGGATAGGATCCAGGACCCTGGACTGGACTGGACCCAAACTGGGAAGGGTCCAGGACCCTGGAGTGGACCCGCCCCTGAACTGGAAAACGGGAATTTAGATTTCTAAAGATAGGAAAAGAGTTCCTTTAAAATCGGAATTCAATTCCGATATTTTAAGAATTAAATTCTATTTTAATTCTATTTGAATAATTGAGACGGAATCAAGTTCTGGATTTCGAGAAACTCTTTTCCTTTAATTTCGGAAAATGCTTCCATGAAATATCGGAATCTGGTTCCTATATTCACGCATGAATGCCTTTTTTTCCGCGAATATCAGAACTAGTTTCTGTAGTTTTCCCGATTTGTGTTTACAGTGAAGGTAGGATTGAACATCTGCCTCACGGATATCACTTCCTGTATTTCTCCCCTCACTTCCTGCATCTTGGGTACTTCCACAATCTACTTGATCACTTCCTTCCAGACTTCATCCTCTTCCTGTAACTTCCTCAGTACATTTCCCTCTACTATCTCGAATCTTGTCTCATTACTCAGGTTATGAATAGCAGGCGGATATCCGGCAAACTTCCACCTTTCTCTTCCTATCTCCACAGGGTTTCCTTCCAGTTCTGCTGCAAAAGTTATCTTCATCTATCCCACTTTGTTGACTTCTTGATATTCTTCATTCTCTTCTGCTGTTGGCTCATCTAAATGCTTGGCTCTAAACAAGTCATCTGCATTAACATTCTCACTTCCTTTCTTATGTATCACAATGAATTTGTATTGAGCCAGTTCCGCGTACCAATGTTTAAAAATAGTTTCCTCTGATTTCAAGTTCACGATATACTTCAAACTAGCAGCATCCATGTAGACTAGGAAGGGGGGCCGGTACTTAAAATATGTTCCCACTTCTTCATACACTTCACCAGGGCGAGGAGCTCCCCCTTGGCGCTGGAGTAGTGTCACTCGTAACGATTACACTTCCGCCCCCAGTAGCCCAGAAACTGCTCCACTCCATCTTGTTTCTGAGACAGAACCCCTGCAATGTTTAGAGACGACCAGTCCGTAGTAAGAATGAAAGGTTCATCTGAATCAAAATCTGGATAAGCTTGTATACACCCTGCTGAAAACTCCGCCTTCAACTCCAGGAAATCCTTCTCCATATCTTTAGTCCACACACATTTCTCTGCCTTCCTGAGACTATTCATCCTGTTGGTCAAAGCTGAGTACCTGGGAAAAAAACCTCTGTAATAATCCGTGAATCCCAGGAATGACGAAGTTTCCTTGCAACTAGTGGGACGTGGCCAGCTCTGTATATCTTTCATATAATGATTCAACATCTGTACTCTGCCCTGAATCACTTTATGTCCTAAATATTCAGTTTCTGTCTGAAATTTCTTGGTCTTCTTAGGTTAAATCTTGATCTCTGCCTTCGTATGAGCCTCCACGATACTCTTCAGATGCTTCAAGTGGTCCCAGTTGTCCATGGAGTACACCAGGATGTAGTCCAGATATGATAACCAGTACTCCACAGGTAAGTGGGCCAGGTCCAACATCTGGCTGTAGACGCTTCCGACATTTGACAAAATGTACCGAAAGGACTCATAAAAGCTGTACAATCCCTGCTCCCCTCCTCTATCTGGACTGCGTGGTATGCACCACAGGCATCAATTGAAGTAAAGATTTGTGCACCCTTCAACTTTTGCAGATTTTCCTGAATAATCCTCAGGGGATAAGCATCCTTGATTGTGACGTCTTTAAGCTGCCTCGGGTCAGTCACCCATCTCGCCCTCCCATCCTTTTTCTTCACAGAAACTAGTGGCGATGCCCAGGGACTGTTAGCAGGTTCTATAATCCCCTGTTGGATCCACTCATCCAATTGTTCTTTCAAGCTTGCATGCTGGTCAGGGTTCAATGGCCTCACCTAGGATCTCTTAGGTATTGCCCCTGGCTGTAATTCTATCCACAGCTCCAGTAAATCTGTTTTGCCACAGTGATTAGGGTGAAGGGCTAACGTAGAAAAGTTTTCCAGGAAAGTTTGATCACTTCCTCTTTCAGCTCTGTATCTTTGTTCAAAATCTCTTTCTCATCTATCTTGAAATTATCCTTGATGAACTTCCTTCTACTCTCTTCTGTGGGAAAATCGGATTCTTGCAATGAGTTAAGTGATTCCTGAGAGTTACACACTCCCTCTTCATCTAAATCCTGTACCGTACTTCCCCTTAACTCCTCCTTAATCCAGGCCTGTTTATCTATGCACATACTATGTATTGTGCCCAGCTTCTGTCCTATGCACAATTCTACACACTCCTCTGCATGGTTCTCCACATACACCGCTTGTAAACTTCCTGACAGATCATATGCATTTTCCGAAAATAGAACTTTTCTCCCCTTCTCTTGATCTTCTAAAGGCAATGCTTCTACCACTCCAGCACCCTTCCAATTACCTTCTGTTCTCACCTTGACTAGTTTTGCATTTACAGCAGGGATGATTATCTTCTCAGCAGACCATAACTTCCTCTCTAATATTTCCTCCACTGTTGTTTACTTCCGGTTCGCTTCTCTCTGCTTTCCACTCAGCCAGAATTACTTGGACACAATTCTTGGTTTCCTTATCCACTCTTCTGCCTTTAATCATGAAAGGGAAAGGTTTCCCATAAGCACTGCACAGTCTTGTTAACCTTTCCTGACCCTTACTTCCGGTAACTAGTTTCACTTCCTTCTCCGTACAGGATATTGACACTTCCTGCTGTCGGAAAAAACTCTATACCAAAGTTCACTGCATGATTCAGGCCTTCTATCACAATTGGTTCTACTTCAAATCTACGATCCAAACCATCCAAGTAGAACTTAATCTTTTCTCCTTTCCCCAATACTTTCAGTCCTTTCCCACCTATCTCTGCCATGTGTAATCTAGCCTTACTCTCCTCTAGCATTTTCCCCCCTATCATCTTCCAGAATTCACTTGACACTAAAGTACCTTTCACTAGATTGCCTGTGTCTACTAAGGCTAACTCCTATATGTCTCGTTTAAATAACTTAAATTTCACATACGAGGTTTTACGGTCGTCCCTCTCAACCAAATTAACATTGTTCAGATGCATGAGAATATTCTTTTCCCATTCTTTAAGTTCTATATCCTTACTTCCGTAAGGTTTCAACCTATCCATCACTTCCGGATTAAAGTCATTCTTCAACTTCCTAACATTGTTCATTACTTCCGTTCTAACTTCTCCTTTCACTTCCGGTATTAACTTACACAAATCATGGACATTCGGATTGACAGAATTGTTTATTAAATGATTAGTAACTACATTCAAATCATTATTTTCTGCAATCTTAGGAGTTGACGACCGTCCGTCATCGGAACTCCATAGGGAAAAACCGCCTCTTGTACCAGTTTCTGCAGAACTTCCTGCATCGCAGCCATGGATTTGGCAATATCTGCTATTTGTCCCCCTCCAAAACCGCCATTCTCTCTCCTTCCCTGGTTTCTCTGTTCTCCTCTACATTCCAATGCAATATGACCCTCCTTCCCGCAGTTGTAACACAAAATTGAGGGGCGGGAATTGGCCTTATGAGTGTCACTTCCGTACTTCCTGTTAGGATTCTTCCTCTTCCATTCATCAAACTTCCTGCAATCTCTCTTCTGGTGTCCAGATTTCTTGCAGAAATAACACGTATCACCATTCTGCAGGGCATTCACTGCACCCTTGACGTCTACATCCTCAGCATCAGACACATCCTCCACCAGCCCTGGCATGGAATTTACGTCCATAGGCACCTGTCATGTCTTCAACATCTTGTTGGCCTTGGTTATCTCTCTCTTATCATACCTGTATGTACTTTGCAAGCCTGCCATATCCTGGGCTAGGGCTCTGGGGTCCAGGTTATAAGTCCTCAGGTTCACTAACTGATGGTCCAGAACTGCCTTAATCTCCCTCTCATGCTTAATCTCTTTAGGCATAATCAGTAGGCAAGTTTTCCTTAGTTCAGCGTTGTATAATCCTAACAACATATTATATACATATATATATATATAAAGATTTATTCACACACAAATATATAAATGGTGTAGTTTAAATTTGCTTAAATAAATTTTTTTTGAAAATACAGGTTTCCAAAAGAAAAGAGAAACAATATGCACACTTATGCACAAATAGAAAACATTGATTTTTACTCACTACATAACAAATTTATCATTTCAGTTATTACGTAATCATCAAATCCTTCAACATATAAATTATTCATTCTTGCATTTAAAAGTTCCAATGTGACAATAAAATATTTCATTTGTTTCTTAACTAACATTTTACCAAGATCCGAAGGATTTACAGAACAATCATTTGCAATAGAAAATAAATTTCTGCCAAGAACTGTGTTAAGGTCATTTTTACATAAATTAGAAAGAAATCTAATGCAAAGCTTAGAACTTGCTTCAATAGTCTTATAGAAAGACACACATCTGCTAGCTAACATAGTTTTTACATGTAAACATTGTGAAATACTTTCAATCAAGTACATATGTGTATCTCTAGGTACATTAAAAAGAATTTTAATAGCAGTATTCCAAGCTGTATAAATTTTGAAACACATCGGGAACTCAAGTCCCAAATACTAGATCCATAAAAACTACAACAGTAAATATTATACAGTTTCAAAATAACATCAGGACTGTTAAAATAAAATTCTTGCTTGGTCCCATAAGGGGTTTTAAAAGCCTTGGACAGTCACAGGAATGCTGGGTCTTAAACAGATTCACAGAATCCCGATATTGTTCCAAAAACCCAGAGTCCCGACATTTTTTTCCTCTATTTCTGGAGACCTGAACATCTGGGACTGTCCCAGGATCGCTGACTCTTTGGCAGAGTCCGAGCAGCATAGGAGATTAACGGAACTTAGGGACTGTCCCATTTAACCTTTAACTCACAATGGGGTTTATTTATTTCTTTAACTCAGTAGCACAAAGCCTGGGAAGTCCTAGGTCTTTGTGACTGTCCCAAAAGCCTGTTTAGTGTTTAAGTCTTAAATTTATGGTTTTTGATACTTATTCAAAGTTATTCAAAATAAAACTTGTTTATTGATTATTGAGTTTGAATATTCTACAAAATGCTTAATCTTTTGATAAATTAAACTCTCTGTCAAAAGTGTGGCAAACTTCTTGTAATTAGGATAAAATAATAAAATGTTTAAAAAATGACTTAATTTAAAAAGTTCTAGTAATTTGGATTAAATGATGAAAAAAGTTTATCAATTAAAACTTTTTTAACAAATTATTAAGTTTGAATATTTGTATAGAACGTTAAAAATATTATTGTTAATTTAAAGTTCTTTCAAAAGTATTCAAAAACAGAAAAAGTCAAGGTAATTCTTTGCAATCAAAATAATCTAATGCAATGCATAAATTAACTTCCAGTATATATATATTTCTTATATAGATGTTTCAGTACAATGCCCCGAATCCGTTCTCATCTCATTCCGTTGAATCTTGTAGGATTTGTTTAATGCAGCCAGGCATCGTCTTCCACATTTCCCCCCCCCCAGCGGAGAGGCCGGAGGTTGAAGTCGGAGGCTGAAGGCAGAGACTGAAGGCGGAGGCTAGTGATAAAGAAAACTCTTTTAATGTTGAAGCATTTGGTTAAAAATCTTTGGTTTGAGTTTAAAAGTTACTCTTTTCCTCATTAGCAGAGGATTCTGCAACAACTTTTTGAAGTCGTCCTCTACGTCTAGGGGGGCCAGGAGGAACCAGAGGAGGTTGGCGTAGGGGTCTGCCCTGGCGTGGAGGTTCTACTGGAGCCTCATCATCTGCTGTGAAAGCTGGTTGGAGGGGTTGAACTGAAACCACTTCTACTCTCTTGCCAACTTGGAGCTGAAAGGTTTTAAGGGAGTGGGATAAAACCTTGTAAGGACCTTTGTAGAGGGGAGTTAGAGGAGCAAATTGTCCATCCTTACATATAAAAACCATTGGGCAAGATGAGAGTTCTGCAGGAATAACTTCTGGAAAAGTGTCAGTTGCAGGAGTGTTATGACGAGGCGGATTAGATTGAAAACCAGACATCAAATTTTTACTTGTACTTCTAGGAACTGACCAGGCAGGGTTAAATCAGAACCATAAACAGCTTCAGAGGTGGATGTGGCAGAGTCTTCTCTGGGAGATGTACGTAAACCTAAGAGAACCCAAGGCAGGTGTTCAAGTCAATTGGTGGAGGCTAGACAAGCACGTAGGGAATTCTTTAACTGCCTGTGGAACCTCTCCACCATGGCGTTGGACTGAGGGTGGAAAGCTGTGGTGGTCTTGTGCTTGATCTTGAGTAGGGAGCAGATGGCGGACCATAGGGATGAAGTGAACTGGGCTCCTCTGTCACTTGTAATCACTGCAGGAATGCCAAACCTTGAGATCAATCCATGGAACATGGCGGAGGCACACTCTGCCGCAGAAATCCCAGCTAGAGGTATAGCCTCAGGCCATCTTGTTGATCTGTCGATGCATGTGAAGAGGTATGTAAAACCATGAGGTGAAGGCAAGGGACCAACAAGATCTACATGCACATGTGCAAATCTTCTGAAGGGTACAGGAATCTTTTCAGGGCGAATGTGAACATGGCGGAGGACTTTTCCTCGTTGGCACTGCAGGCAGGACTTGCACCAGTCACGGACGTCGTTGGCTAAGCCCCTCCAGACAAACCTTGTAGAAATAAGACGTCTGGATGACCGAACTCCAGGATGTGATATTCCATGTAAGGCGGAGAAAATGTTAAACCTTTGAGAAGATGGAACCAAGGGGCGGAGAACTTTCGTCTTTGCGTCACAGAGCAGCGAACCATCTTGTACTGGAACAGTTACGAGGCGGAGGGTGGGGGAAACCTTGAGGCGGAGTATATCAGGGCAGGACAGCTGTTCTTTAGCTAATTCTGAAAAATTAATCACTGAAGAAGTTGGAAAAGGTGATGGAGTTGTTGAAACTGACACCTCAGACACCTCAGACACCTCAGACA